AAAAAAAAAGAAAAAGAAAGGAGCTGATTTCTTTGTTTTATTTTCTTCTTTTCATGCTGTTCTGCCAGCATGGAAAAAGATCTAATGCAGGGAGAACTTACATGTTCTCCATGGAGTTTAGAACTCTGTATGTGATCCATATGTTGCAGCTTTGCTTAGTTTTCTTCTTGGCCTTTCGACGAAATAAAAGCTTGTGTTCCAAATTGTTTTACAATGTTATTACAGCTGAAAAGAATAAAATTAACTCGTTCCGAGGATTGGGGGCTCTTTCTTTTATGCTGCTTGAGTCTTTGTTTTGATTATATAATTCATAAACTTTGAAGCAAGCGAGCCCTTTCAAAGGCAACTGTAGAGTTTTGCTGGCTGTCTCAGCTCTGAAGTTTTGAGTTTGTCTTTTCAAAAAAATTAATGAACCAGCTGATGGTCCCAAGATGTAGCAGAATAAATATCAGTGTCTATTTTTAGAATCTGCCAGTGTCATTGGGAGGTCCTCCTTTTGTGTCTGGTCACTTAAAGAAGATAGTGGATAGGTCCCGGGGTGCTTTTTTCTGTAGCAAACTAAGTTGGAAAAACCTGCAAAGTAGACGATTGTTGGACAGTTTTCAAACTGGTGATTCATTCTTAAAGTTTAGCTGGAGTCTTTCTTCTTTTTAAGTTGAATTGAAAGAGTTCACCTGGAAGCCACCTTTTCAAAAATGTAAATGGTTGGCGTCTAGCTTTGTTCTCTTGAGACCCCAGAGAACATTATATTTATTTACATATTCCGTTTTGATGCCAACCAACTCTGGGCATCTCACCAGAAATGAAGAGCAACATAAAAAAGAACCCAATTTAATAGAGTAGACTGGATCAAATTACAAAAATAACTACATAAATGTGCTGTGTGTGTGTGCATGCATAACTTCAATTGCCTCAACTAGTCCCTTCAGTTTTTTGGACAATAATTTTGGAAGTGGTTTGCCCTTGTTTTCTTAACAGGGGCTGAGAGAAGTGACTGGCCTAAGGTCTCCCAGATGGCTTCACCCCTAAGGCATGGCTAGAACTCATTGCCTCCCAATTTCTAGCCTGGAGCTGTTAACCACTACACCAAGCTGGCTGTAAGAAAATAATTAAAGAAATTGCAATCCAAGCAACGTATCAAAACATAAATATTATAACCAACGGAGTTTCATCCACCCTACCCCAAGGTCTGGGACAGAAGCCAAGTCTTGCAGGCTTCTTCTCCTTGTAGTTCAGTGAATTAGGAGGTATCCGTCTGAGCCACTTCTGAATATTATCTGTCTGTTGTGGTTTAAAATCTGTTTTATCCCTTGTCATCCCGGCAACAGATCATATATATTTCTGTCAAGACCATCTTTCCTACACTCTTTACGTCTTGAGAAATTCTGAGAAACCAGCTTCCTAATTTCTCTGCTCACAGATTTGGTAGATGTTCTTCAAAGGCATTTAATGGCTCTATGTTGGGTGTAGGTCTGACCATATTAAGGCCACCTTCTTCGCTCTTCTTCTTAAGGTAGAACGTGGACGTTCAGTTGAGGACTTTGTTCTCAGTAAACTGCTGATATTTACCTTAAGAGGAAGGTCTGCAAAAATATTATTGAGAAACAAAATAAAACATGATTTCCTTCTTTTGTAGGGTCAACCAGGGCTAATCGGGAACCAAGGACCAATGGGCATTGAAGGCTTTACTGGACCAGAGGGAGTGAGAGGACTGAAAGGAGAGAGGGGTGTAACAGGTCCTACAGGTGCAGCTGGAATGAAGGGAGACAAGGTAAGTTCATTCATGCTTTTAGGGTTCTTGTACATCTTCAAAGACAACCCTGTTCTTTCTGCTGTAGTGGCAATTCTGCATTTTGCTGTGTCATTTGGGCATAATCAGGGTAATGAATGACTGAAAGTTAACCAATTATCTTCTATCTGTTTGTCCGTCTATCTGTCTGTCTGTCTGTCTGTCTGTCTGTCTGTCTGTCTGTCTGTCTGTCTGTCTGTCTGTCTGTCTATCTATCTATCTATCATCCAGCCATCCATCATCTATGATATCATCTACCTGTCATCCACCTATCATCCATGTCTTTGTCTCTCTCTGTCTCCCTCTCTCTTTCTCAACTATCTATCTATCTATCTATCTATCTATCTATCTATCTATCTATCTATCTATCTATCTATCTATCTATCTATCTATCTATCTATCTATGTCATCTATCTATGTCATCTGTCTATCTATCAGCTTTATCTATCTATCCATACTGGCTCAGGAATTCTGGGAGTTGAAGTCCATGAGTCATAAAAGAGCCAAGGTTGCCTACCCCTGGTCTATAGCAAGTCCATGCTTGATTTTATATCCATTGTTCTAGGCTAACATGCCTCATGAACTGGACTTAGAACTGTAAAGAACAGACAGACACTTAACTGTATTCCTTTTTTATCCTCTTAGGGCCCAATGGGTGTTCCTGGATTCCCTGGAATTTATGGAGTTCCGGTAAGTTTCTCTGGATTTCCCAGGACTTTGGCATATCTCTTAGTATGGCTTTTGGCCACCGACTTTAAGTATGATTCTGGGTTTGAATTCAAATGCATCTTTTTGTGGTCCTTGATTGAGGTTGTTGATGGGTAGTCCAACAAAAATTCCAGGGTGAAGGTGATCGTATGAAGTTGGTAGGGCAGGTCTTCTGTTCTAAGAGGATATTCCTTTGCTACTGATTGAAGCAGGGGAAGGACCATTACCCGGTCAGTAATGCAGGTAGGTCTGGACCATAGAATGAACATTGAGACTCCAAGAGACAGTGGACTCCAATAGCCACAAAATAGCAGGTGATTGAGGCTGTAGCAAACACAGCCACATCAACATTAGGATCCGTTGATTCTTCTTCTGTGGTCCAGGAGGAATTGGTTAAGTGTACACATACTTGCAAATGCTCAGTTTGTTGCTTTATCCTTAAAAAAAAAAAAAAAGACGAGCGCTTGGAAGAATTTGAAAAAAGGTATTCAAATGCCTGGATGTCCTTACGCCTACAAAGATCAGAGTCATGCAAGCCATAGATCTCCCTTTGGCGCATCATGGGAGCAAGAGATGGACTTTGAAGAAGCAGGATAAGAAGAGTATTACCTCCTTTGATCTTTGGTGTTGGAGAAGATTCCTAACAAAGTCGTGGACAGCCAAGAAAACAAGCCAGGGGACATCAAACAAAGCAACCCAGAGTACTCAGTTGAGGCATAAATGAGCAGGCTCAAATGATCCAACTTCGGATGCATTATGTGAAGACACAGCTCTCTTGAAAAGACTGTAATGCTAGGAAAAGTGGAAGAAAAGAAGTGGATAACCACTATCTGAAGGACCAGGTTAGGCATAAATTGGAATGGAGAAAATATGTCTATGTGGTCTATATTTATTTATTTATTTATTTATTTATTATTTAAATTTATATACCGCCCTATCTCCCTTACGGGACTCAGGGCGGTGAACAGGCAATAATAAAAATCACAATAAATATTGAATAAAAAGCCTGCTCTAAAATACCCCATATAAAACCCCTAGCAAAGCCCAATCAAAACTATGCCAGGCCGGCCGCATGGAATAGATGG